AGCTTTTCAAGCTCTATCCAACCATATATAAATGAACGAAAACAAAAATTCACTCGAATTTTTGCATTACCCGCACCTTATATAAATAGATTACTTTATTATTTGTTCAATTATTTCATAAATCGTCTTAATAAAAAAAAATAAAAATGAACCAATTAGTTTGAAGTAACAAGTTTTAATAATCGAACAAGTTCGAAATATATCCAAGTCCATGATTGATTAAAAATGATTTCGATAGATAAAATAATCTAATTAATCCTTATTGAATTGATTTTTTTTGTTATTATCTATTTATGAAAAATCTCTTGAGTTCGTCGAAAAAGAATAAATACTTAATAATCAAAGTGAAATTTTATTTTTATTCTAATAAACAAGAAAAATCTTAAATTTAATTTATAAATTGAATAGATATACTATCTCGTTATAAAAAACATTGAAATAAATGACAATTTAAATAATAAATATCATCATTGAGACATTAATTAAAATTCTTATGTCAAATGTCATTTGCATTCTTTTATTTATTTCAAATAGGACATTTTTGTTTTATTAATAACAAATTTATTAAATATAATAAATTGAACAAAAATAGTTAATTATACAAGTAATTATCGATAGAATATTAATTAAAACTATAATTTATGAAAAAATTCTATACTCAATAAATAAATCTGATTATTTTATTTGAATTTATCTATTAAACAAAAAAAATAAAATAAAATATTCAATAATAAGATTGAATTTATTTAAATATTATTAAATATATTCATAAACTAGAAATTGATATTGTCATATAAAAAGTAATATTGAAAATATTTTAAAATGATCTAATGATATTTGACGATATTCATCTATACGAGTAAGTATTTACAATAAAGAGTTCATTTAGAGATTTTTTTCTTTTTTAATTATCAAAAAAATAAAAATTTTCAAATTAAATATTTTTTCAAGAAAATATTTTCTAATTTTTCAGCATTGATTTGTCGAACAAAATATTATATTAAATATTAAACGTTTTATTCATTTATAAGATATTAAAAAAAAATATTTTAAAGTAATTAATATTTTAAGTATACAAGATATGTAGCGATCATCCTACCGATTCGCTGATCCTTTTCTGAAAGAAAACATCGAACATTCCGAGAGAATTTTTCGACAAAAACATTTTCAATTTTACTTTATACATAAGATACTTTCATCAATAAATTTATAATCTACTTCTCCATCAAGATAAGTGAATAGCATCACAATTTTTATACCTCAACTTTCGACATGAGTGCAGATGTCTGCGGAAATGTAGAGAAGAATACCATTTATCCATACTCATCTCACATTCTGACCGAAACTCACATTATCCAACATAACCCAACATCTACACCAACATCCATAATCAACTCAAAGTCTGCGCCTTTGTCAGGACAAAAAAATAAATAAACATACATATATTTCCTCATCTAACACTTTCTTTGAGTAATGGAATATCGTACTACACAGAGCGGATAGTATTGACTGCTACTTTTAACATAAACTACTGGTTTTATATTCTAATTCAAGAAACAGTAAGTAAGACATTTCAATGCATCTTCAAACAAAGTGCACCGTACAATTTTCTATCTGGTAGAACGACCGAAAACCGTTTTCGATAAGACTAAGGACAAGGAGATCCTCTGAATGCGTCACATGTTCAGGCACAAGAGTCAGAGCACCTTTAACAGCAGTCTAAAATAATTAAGAAAAGACATTTTGAGAATCCAACTTCAGATTCGACTATATGATCTCAATAACCTAGAGCAAAGTTTCATCAAAAGTCTCGAAAGTCTTCAAAATAAAAATGCTCGTTTCTGATTGGCTGGACCAGACAAATAAACATGCATACATTTTCTCATATAGTATCCTTTCTTTTAGAAAAAGAAACAATTTAAGTAAAAGTTCTCATCTCCGTTGGGCTTTTTACGTTTTTACTCTCAGAAGAAGCTGCGATAACGCTTCCGATTCTCCAAATGTTTCCAATTTCTTTCTTCTACTGAATATACAGGGTGTTCCAAAAATCCGTTAGGAAATTTTACGCTAATATCTCTTATGCAACACAAGCAATTGAATTGCTTTTTTTTTAATGATAGCGTATTCTTTTAAGTTTTATTTCATATAATTTGGTTTGCAACAAATGTTCAAAATGATCGGCATCACTCTCAATACATAAATGCATCCTTTTCACAATATTCATAAAAACATTACACAAAGTTTCTTTAGAAATTGATTTGATTTCGTTGTTGATTCTTCTTCGTAATTCAGTCAGATCTTTTATAGGAGTTTTGTAAATAATGTTTTTTAAGTGACCCCACAGGAAGAAATCGAGATGGGTCAAATTCGGTGAGCGTGGAGCCCATCGAATTGGACCACTCCTTCCAATCTACCTGTGAGGAAACTGATGATCCAAATATTGTCGTACATCAATGGCGAAATGGGAAGGAGCTCCGTCTTGTTGAAAAACAATCGAACGAACCTTGTGTAATTTCCTAACTTCTGGAAGAAAGAAGTTCTGCAGCATTCATAAATAATTTTCTCCATTAATAGTATTATCTTCGAAGAAAAATGGTCCGATCAATTCATTTTTTGACACAGCACACCAGACATTCAGTTTAGGAGAATTCATAACTGTTTCAATAGTTGCGTGTGGATTATCTTCAGATCAATATCTAACGTTGTGTTTCTTAACTAATCCATGTAAATAAAAAGTAGCTTCATCGAAAAGAAAAATATTTTCTTGAATGGTCTTGTCTTGTAACATCGGCATCAATGTTTTACACCTGTCAACTCTATCTTGTAAATCTTCTTCGTAAAGTTGTTGGACGAATTGTATCTTGAACGGTTTTAATAAAAGATATTCTCTCATTATTCTATGTGCTGTTGTCGGTGGAATGGAACAAGCTGTTGCAACAGCACGAACACTTGATTGTGGTTCATCTTGAATGACATCACGAACTTCGTCGATTTTTTCTTCTGTAATTTTGGATTGTGTTCCTGGATGTTCTCGATCTTCTATGCTACCAGTTGCACAAAAGCGATCAAATGTAGCTTTAATGCAAACTTCAGTTGGTGCATTTTTACCAAACTCGACCTGCAATTTTCGTCTGACGACCACAGGTGACCCAAATTTGGCCATTAACAGAACTATTTTTATTCTAAGGTTGATAGGTACTGGCATTTATCTGAAAGTAAATAAAACAAAACTTAAAAGAATATACTATCATGTTATAAAAAAAAGCAATTTAATTGCTCGTGTTGTATAGAAGATATTAATGTAAATTTTCCAAATGGGTTTTTGGAACACCAACACCCTGTATCTATTAGGTACTGATTGACCTGATAAATATCTGAATGATAAAAATTCTGTGTACTTTCGTTTGAATACTCCCAATTCAAGAATGAAATAATGCGCGGATCTCTCTGAAAAAACTTCTATCATCTAAAATAATTAAACCAGCTTCTCATCGGTCTTCGGCATCCCTTTCGACTTGTCGCTTCTCGAAATATATCACACAGTCCAGTAAGAAAAACCAAGATTTCTTTAGTCGCATCCTAAAATGATTAAAAAAAACCGCTTGGGTCAATCCAACTTGAGATTCGACAATTTGACATGCATAAATCATCGAAAAGTTACATCGAAACCCGTGAAAGCCGAAAAATCGAAAATTTTCTTTCTGATTGATGAAATTTCTGAGCAATGAGAGGTCAAATGAAAAAAACAAATGCCAGATTCGCGTTTCTCACCTCCGACAACCTATAGGATATGAATGTTTCATCAAACCGCCCAAAACGACGAAAAATAGGAAAGCTAGTTTCCGATTGGTCGATTTTCTGACCAATGAAAGGTCGGAGGAAAAATCAGCAGACTTCAGATTCGAGTTCCTTGCTCCCGATAACCTATAGCAATCTTTTATCAAAAATCAAAACATCCAGAAACCTAAAAATAGAAAAGTTCGTTTCTAATTGATTGAATAAACAAATAAACATAGATACATTTTTTTATGTAACAATAACACCGTTTCTTTCAGAAAAGGGAATAGAAGAATTTTCGGGCAAAATTTTCATTTGTTTATCAATTTTTTCGACTCTTTTATAGAAATATTAACTATTTAAAATAAAAATAAACTTTACATTTCAGATGTATTCGACAGAAATTATAACAATTAAATTTATTTCCTGTAATCGACAATCGCGTACAAAATTCATAGAAATTCATTTAAGTCTAAAACTACCGAGTCAATATTGAAATAAAATGTTTTTTTTTCTTGTTAGTGTTCCTTAAATAAACTATCAATATATGTTATTCTATTAACATTAATCATTTTTTCTCTCAATAAGCGATCTAAAAGCTTTCGAACCAATGAAAATCTATTCTGCAAAACTCTTCTAAAGGGTGGCCCATACGTAACGCAACCGAAGTAAAAACTGAATATCTCCTGTATAGCTCAAGCAAAAAAGCTAATTTTTTCACCAGTGATAGAGACATGTATAAGCTATATATCCATAAAGACATGTCTAGAGGGAGACTCTTTGTTAAGTATCACTATTGACCTCAATAAGAAA